GACGTCCCCTGTTGTGGTAGAACTGATCCCCAAAAAGAACACCGCTGAAACCACCCGATCCACGAGGCCTCTTGGCCTCCCTCTTACCACGCTCCTGACTGCAGACCATCTCTATCTGCTGAACAATATCGACCACCTCGTCGAAAGTAGCACCAAATACCCTCTCTGTAGTCATAAGAAACCGCAGCTGATATGTGAGGCCATCAATGAACCTCCTAATCCTCTCCCTATCAGTAGGAACCAACCAAACTGCATGACGAGCCAACTCTGAAAACCTCATCTCGTACTGAGGCACAGACATGCCCTCCTGACATAGCTGCTCAAACCGTCTGCGCAGCTCTTCCCCGCGAGACTGCGGTACAAACTTCTCCAAGAAGAGAACGAAGAACTCCTGGCATGTAAGCAGTGCTACACCGACCAGCCTGCGCCTCTCATAAGCCTTCCACCATCTGAAGACAGCCCTAGAAAACTGAAAAGTAGTGAACGAGACCCCACTAGTCTCCAGAATACCTACCGTATGAAGAATCCGCTAGCACTTATCCAAAAAGCCCTGGGCATCCTCTGACTCAGCCCCGCTAAATGACGGAGGCTGAAGCCTCCCAAATCTCTCGAGTCTCCTCTGCTCATCATCAGACATAACGGGAACCACCTGGGCCTGAGCAGTTACAACTGGCTAGGCTGGTAGTGCCCCCAGTGTATGAAACCCCTACATCACCTGCTCTGGTGTACGGGCGGCGGGAGTCTGAGCACCTCCCCCGGCCTGAGAAGTGGCTGCTGCGGACGAAAATAAGACCGCCTTAGCAAGGCTAGTACACACGGTCAGAATCTGAGCCAAAGCCTTCTAAAGGCCTGGAATCACAATGGGTACAGCTGGTGGTTAAGCTGGCCCCAATAGCTCAACCGTATCTGGTACCTGGTCCTAAGTAGGAGCGACTGGTGGGTCTACAGGTGCTGCTCTAGCTGTTGTACAAGCTGCACCTCTGCCCCTACCGCGGCCCTTACCGCGACCTCTTCCTCTCGCGGCTCTAGCTGGTGGTACTGGTGGCTGTCCATCATGCCCGGTTGCATGTGTCCTCACCATATATGAGAGAATAGAATAACAGAAGTTTAGTTACCAGTATCAACAAATCCGTACGACAAGAATACAAGAATGTGAAGTTTCCTTAGGGTCTGGTAGACTCTCAAAGATAAGTACAGACCTCTCCATAGTGATCCGCAAGACTACACTAAACCTGCTCATGACTCGTGAGACCTATATAATCTAGGCTCTGATACCAACTTGTAACGACCCAAAACAAATTCGTCGTGATAGCGCCTATTATAGAACTTGGCAAGCCAACTACTCAACCATTTTCAACACTCTAAAGCTTTGAAAATACGGAAGCAGTTAAATTTAAGGAAAACCTTTTAAAAGCAAAATAAGAAATCATTACTCAATACAAAATCTCTCTCAAAACCAGGGCGTCACCGAGTACATGAGCATCTACATAGGAATATAGTCTAGTACAACGTCTAGAGAATAAAACTGAAATATAAAATGAAGAGGGGAGGAGAGTTAATGTCTGCGGACACCAAGCAGCTACCTCGATGATCTCCGAAAATTCGGACTTTGCAACTCAGCAATCACCGTAACCGGATGCACCTAGATCTGCACATGAGGTGCAGGGTGTACCATGAGTACAACCAACTCAGTAAGTAACAAATCTAACATTTGATATATTCTGAATGATATGGGGAATATAACCTATCTACATCAACATTCAAATGCACATGCTATATGTGATGCGCCACGCTAAAAGCCTCGGGTACTCACGCTCTTAGAATACTCAATCACTCAGTAATGTATATGGTCAATCCAGCCTAGGGAAGATCCATCCCGGATATATATACATCAACTGACAGTCAGTCACTCAGTATTGGGTAGGGCCAATCAACCCATAAGGAAGATCCATTCCCAGGTATAAATGATTCAGACAAGCTCCATGTCCAGGGAAGATCCATCCCTCAATATAAATCAACTGCGCTCACTGGGATGTGTATAGACTCCGGAGGGGCTTCTTCAACCCAAGCGCTATCATAAGCCAGATCCAGGCATAAATCAATAAAACATGCTACGGCGTGCAGCCCGATCCCATAAATATCACTCACAATTAGGCCCTCGGCCTCACTCAGTCATCAATCCCTCTAGTCTCTCTCTCTCTCTCGGGCTTACAATATTGTGAAACTAGCCCAAAAATGATGATACGATGTATTAATAAATAGCAAGAGAGATTGAGATATGATATGCAATGAATAAATATGACCGAGTACGAAATTTCAATGAAATCAATACGTCAATAGCAAGAAACGACCATTATGAGTCCAAACAGTACCAGCATATAGGCTAAACATGATTTCTAGCATGTTTGGCAGCTCAATTACTTTATCACATGATGAAAACACGGATATCAACAACATACAACAACATACCCAGTATAATCCCACAAGTGGGATCTGGGGAGGGTAGTGTTTACGCAGACCTTACCCCTACCTGGCAAGGTAGAGAGACTGTTTCCAATAGACAATGAAAACATGGATATCGACAAGATAAATCCACCATACAGTTCCATGGAAGACCAGGTCACAGTTGTTACGGTGCATGCCCAGATACCCATCACTTGGCATGTGCGTCACCTCAATACCAATTATATAACACATAATTCGGGATTTCGAACTCTCAGGGCCAAGTTTAGAAGTGTTACTTACCTCAGACCGTGTAAATCTCTACTCCAACACACCCTTGCCTCGTGAAACGTCCTCTGTATGCCTCGAATCTAGCCACAAACAGTTCGATACAATCAACACGAGCTAAAGGAATCAATTCCATAAGAAAATTCTAAGCTCTAAATCAAAAGTCAAAAAGTCAACTCAAATGTTGGCCCCAGTGCGCACGTCTCGGAATCGGGTAAAAGTTACAAAATCCGAACATCCATCCAATCACGAGTCCACCCATACCAAAATTACTCAAATCTGATGCCAAAATCTCGATTAAAACCTCAAAATTTAGCCTAAGATCTTTTTTCCAATTTTCCACCACAATTCATAAATTTAATGATGAAATCAAAGGCTTAATCATGGACATTAACCAAAACTAGGTATGAATCACTTAGCCCAAACACCAACGTGAAAATCTCTCCAAGAATCGCCTCCCACCGAGCTCCCAAATCAATTTTTGTGTTATAAACTCAAACTCTCGTTTTGAAATATTTAAAGTTCTGCCCAGTGATCCTTAATCTCAATTGCGAAAACTGCCTCGTGATCGTGAAGCACAACTCAGCTGCCGCAGGAATTAAGCCTACGCAAATGCATCCCACACCCGCGATCGCATACAACTGACTTCTCAGACCTACGCGATCACGTCCTTCCTCACACGACCGCAAAGAACAAATGCGGGAACCGCGGCTTCTACCTCCAATACCATATGCGAGCGCGACCTTAGCCACGCGTTCGCGAATCACAATATCATGCGAACGCGTAGAACAAAACCCTCCACTGCCAAGCTAAGCCTATGCGATCGCGGACCTTCCCACGCGATCGCGTATGAGGAAACCAGATCAGAGACACCACAAAACTTCAGCTATAATCCCAAGTCCAAAATTGATCAGTTAACCATCTAAAACTCACCCGAGGCCCCCCGGGACCTCAACCAAACTTACCAATAAGTCCTGAAACACGATACCAACTTAGTCGGGCCTCCAACTCACATCAAATAACATCAAAAACACGAACCGCACCCCAATTCAAGCCTATTGAAACTAAGGAAACTCAAACTTCTACAAACGATGCAGAAATCTATCAAATCACGCCCGATTGACCTCAAATTTTGCACACAAGTCAAAAATGACACCACAGACCTACTCCAACTCCCGGAATCGGAATCCAACCCCGATATCAAAAAGTCCACTCCCGGTCAAACTTTCCAAAAATCCAATTTTCACCATTTCAAGCCTAATTCTATACGGACCTCCAAATCACAATCCGGACACGCTCCTAAGTCCAAAATCACTCAACGGAGCTAACGGATCCATCAAAACTCCATTCCGGGGTCATTTACACATAAGTCAATATCCAGTAAACCATTTCGACTTAAGCTTTCAACCTTGAGACTAAGTGTCTCAATTCATTCCGAAATCTTTCCGGACCCGAACCGACTACCCTGGCAAGTCACATAACAGTTATAAAGCACAAAATGAGCAGTAAATGGAGAAACAGGACTACAACTCTCGGAACGACTGGCCGGATCGTTACACCCGTCATATACGACCTTTTTCGTACTAGTGAAGCTCGGCATCCATAAGGTTGATAGTCACATTGTGTTGATAATTAAATTCAGCTGATTGATTTAAATAATTGGCAGCTCCTTTGTGTAACAACCTCGAAGACGATTTTAACCGTTGACGAATTGTGAAGTAAGCAAATAGACTATAGATTGTTAAGCGTATATAAAAACCTTCTTTTTTTACAACACTGACATTGATATAACCATCGATGACGTCAAATATACTTATATTTGGATAGCTTCTATCAGTTGAGACAGAAGCTATCCTATTTTGATTCATTGGAAGTCCATGTAACTCGCAATGAATCCTAGGTGTAGCATCTATTGTGTTTTTCATAAATCCACTTATAGAATTCCTAGCTATCCTATTTCGACTCATTGGAAGTCAATGTAACTCGCAAGAATCGTAGGTGCAGCATCTTTTGTGTTTTTCTTATATCCCCTTACTAGAATTCCTAGCTCTACCACGGGAGCCAGACTAAGGTTTTAAAGAATCATGGTTCGATCTTGAGTTTTGATTTAGAAAAAAAAGAAGCAGCAAACGTTGGTTTTATGAGACTTTCCAAACTTAAGCATGAGTAAGCCGTAGTTGAGCTTCGAGAATCACTTTAACCTAATAACCGGACGTAATATGGATATCATTCACTACTATCAAACCATGATCATGTCAAACATGAAAACAAATTGAAGTAATATTATCATTGTTCCATAAGCCTTCATTGAGGGGAATGCCACGAAAAGACCAAGTTTGATTTTACCTTTTTTGTGCCCCAGCTAATTTCAGCATCAGCATATGAACTTACCTAAGTTGGAAAAAGTTGAAGAAGAAAAAGTTGGAATTGCCCAGAAAAGCCTGGACTTGGCATTTGGCAACAAGAAAAGCTATGCAATAACATGAGAAAAGATACACCAGGTTGTCGTCGAACAACCGTTATCTTTTTGACAACTCAAACAAACCAGGAATCACATAGCCAGACATTGTATACATCCCTGTCACCTTTTTTTCTCTTTTATTGAGACATGAGGAAGATAAGAGTGGTATAGCAAGAAGGATCATGCTTCAACAAGTCGCAGTTGTTTCACAAACTCAAGTGTAAGGGCATTCAAAGTCGAGGAGATTTTCCTGTGTCTGCAGCAGCACTACGGTAATCATATACGCCGATGCCTCGCTTTTTACCAAGTCTACCAGCATCAACATACTGCACAAGAAGAGGGCATGGAGCATACTTATCGTCCCCTAGACCGACATGAAGAACTTTCATAATCGACAAACAAACATCCAGTCCAATAAAATCTGCAAGTTCCAAAGGACCCATAGGATGGTTGGTTCCCAGCTTCATTCCTGTATCGATGTCTTCTTTTGTTGCAACTCCAGTATAAAGTGTATGAAAGGCTTCATTAATCATAGGCATCAAAATTCGGTTTACAATGAAGCCAGAATAATCCTGAGAGCAGATAACTGTCTTACCAAACCTACAAAAAATAAATAGATAGTCAGAAATTAGTTGCAGATTTCCTCCTCTTTCCCGAGGATAGGAGATTAGTCTTTTACAAGTAGGGGATATGAGAAATTCTTTTGCCTTTCTTGTAATTCATCTCATACATTGGAAATAACAGATACTATATAATTTTTGTCCATGCTGCTTATGAAGCATTATAAAACAACTTATGTAGAGATGTTCAGGTGATTAAACAATCTCACATCTTGTGATAGAGAATGCATAACAAGGATCCTTTCTCGTTTTTCGGTTGCATCTGTTAATCTATCAACTATGTCTCAATTTCAAACTATCTGTGTTACCTATATGAATCCTCCCATTTCATTCCGATACGGCAATCTAAACGAAAATAAAATCTAGGAAACATGACATGAGGCTCAAATACCACCTAAAGGAAATTTTTTTATCCTCAATCTGAAAAAGCTTAAAGACTTGAGACAGCAACAAGTGGATGACAGGTTCTCTAAGCCAAGTATCTAAGATAAGCCAATTGTAAATCTTAGTTCTTAAAAAACAATCACAGCGCAACCCCCCTTGACCATAGCAGAACAGGGAGACCTCCATGAAGAATAAGAATCCCTTAAGATACTTTTGGGCCAAGACAATTTGGGACAGAGTTCAAATCTATTGTGTAAAAGTGGAGCTTTGCAGCTACATAATGAGATTGCATTTGGTCGCGGTGGAACTCTGGGAAATGGTTATACCTGTAGGGCATATAGCTAGAATATATGTGACTGTTAATCTGAAAGCGTAGATATTTAAGGGAGAAAATTTTTTTAACAACTGTCCGAGGAAATGTGCAAATCTTTGTAAATCCTAGTCACAGGGTTTTCCTATCAGTCACCTCTCTGCCAGGCATTTAGTGGCACAATATGTGTCTTCTGATGTATCTGCGCCCCGAATAATCTCAACCAGCTTCATAATGGGTGGAGGATTCATAAAGTGCATGCCAATCACCTGCAATGAAAACATAAAAGAGAGAGAAGCTATATGAACCCTAAGCAGCCGATGGGTACACGTAACTAGAGTTCCCTTTATAGAGGCACAGAGACAGATAGAGAGAGCATATCAGGAAAGGCAAGTGATTACAAGTGTCTAATTTGTTGTCAACTTGTGTTGAGGATTTGGATATTCCCTAATAAGTACCAGAATATATATATATACATGAGACACAAGCGTACTACACACACATGAAGAAAGAAGAAAAGACATTTTTATATGGCCTGCAACGATTAGAATCCTCCACTAGCAGTGTTTTAGGAGCCAAAAAGCTATCAAATTGAATTGGCTAGTGAGTTCTACATAATATGCAACAAAAATAGAGAGGGATAATTCTGTTCTATCAGCTAATTGAACTCTTAATTAGTTTATGAGCCAATCAATCCTCCTTCAAACCATCATTTTGAGAAATAAGGTTCCCTATCAGTTATTTCTACCATCACTCTGCAAACATTATTCTTCACCCTTATCCACATCCTCGTGACATTCCACTCATTGCTTTTAGCAGCCATTAAGAAAAGTCTTGTTAGTCCCATGTCTTCTGGTTAGCAGCGAGGAGCCTTACACCTTCAATATTACCACCCACTTTATTCACTTAACAAAAAGTAATTATATTGGCAATCTCATCACCAAGTAAACAGAATTATGTGTACAGGTGATGACTACTAAAGATGGGACATACAAACTAAAGTGCAAAAATAATACAAACCACAACAAATCGTACCAGTTTGGGCAGGAGTGCCTAGATGTTGAGATTCCATAAGTCTAAAAAGAAAGAAAACAAGATACACAGATAAATTCCGCACATCTTCTTTCTGAAGAGATTTAAAAAAAGGAAGTGAGCAAGATATTTGTGCAATTGTTTGAATCTTGGCATTTTCCAGAACTTCAACACACATATTTGCATTTCAATAAAGTAGTTCTGCTTTCAATAAGTTTCATAAGCCAGCGTTCAGTGTATAATTGATCGACAGCCGAAGTGAAGCAAACCTGGCAGGGTCGGTTCGTTGCAGAAGCTAGACGAGTAATAGATATGGAGCTTGTATTAGAAGCCAAAATAGCAGAGCTCTTTACAATCTTATCCAAGTTGGCAAATAAAGATTTCTTCACTTGTTCGGATTCCACAATAGCCTCAACAACAAAGTCAACTGAATCTAAATCTTCCAAGCGGGATGAACACCGTAGACGTCTTACAGCGTCAGCACTTTTTTCCTGTTTTATCAAGAAGTTATTAAACACAAAACTCACCGCTGTTCGAATTTCCTAAAAAATACTCCAAACAACACCTTCCAAGAGTAGGCAGTATTCGCAGCTTCAAAATCTTACTCCCCTACCCCATTTGATACACACTATTGCAATCTTGGAATCAAATGAGTTTTTTCTTTAATTAGCTAAAAACAGGGAACAATAGAAGAAAAAGATCCATGTAGGTGATGCATGCTAGTAGGAATAGGAGAGAACTTCTAATATTATTATTATTATTATTATTACTATTATTTATCTAAATTTAACTTATTTTCCACTCTTAATTTTATTTGGTATGATTATGACATCAGTTGAGCTTAAAAGGAGAAACCGGGATTTATATAGCTGACCTCAACTTGTTTGGGACTGAGGCATAGTTGTTCTTGAAGACCTTTCGAAACATTTTTCAAAATCTTTTTGAGGAATCAATTTCTGAAATTCCCACAAAAAAGTTACAGTAGATATTTTGACCTTATATTCTGGAAACCCATTATTCGTTTTATGAACAGAGGGAGTGTTTAGCAGCTTGTTCTTGAGCATTAGACAAGTAATTCTAGTTAAACCTTTTTTGGAAAAAGGTAAAATTCAAAGTTAAAAGGAAGAAAAAAAATTTAGCTAGTAAATAGGATAACAAATTTTACTGGTGAAGAAGGAGGAAGAAATACCTGAGAGAGTTGTCCTTTGGAGAGGAGGCGTTGCATATTATTGGAAATAGAATTTCGGGCTTTAATAAGAGCTTCAGAATCAGTATCGTAAAACCAAACGTCGATGCCGTTGACGGCGGCGAGTTGGGCAATTCCGGAACCCATTTGACCGGCGCCGATAACTCCGATGCTTGTGATATTGGCCATGTCTGTATCAGATGATTACCAACAACAAGAATCTACCTAAGCAGAGGAGGTACTGTTGTATACGGTAAGACCACTAGACCAAACACGTTTATGTAGGAGTGAGCATTTGGTATTTCCGTTCCGTATTTGAGAATTTTGGTATTTTGGGTATTCCTTTATCAACTGTGTATATGAAATATCGTACAAAATATTGTTCGGTATATTTCGGCATGATTCGTATTTTTTATGGTTCGGTACGATTTCGGTTCAAACTAGATCTTTAAATGATCTCACCTCATATTAAATAATGATAATTAGTTTACTAGTCCTGATCTAAGTTGAGATATTAATTAGTGATTTGTTGACTTCCCCCAATTAATAATTATTACGCCTAAGGCATTACAAAATCAATCTTATATAGCTGAAAGAAGGTGATTCAAACAGTAAATACTTTCACCCTATAATTAATGAGAGGCGAAGAAGACTTACTCATAATAAAATAAAATAAAAATATGAAGGATAATGTATTAGTGAGTCAGCAGATTGGTACATTAAAGTTAGTCGATCATTTTCAACTCTATTTTACAAGCATTCTAAAATATCCCAGCTTCAGCATTTTTGACTGTGGTGAACCAGCAATTGCTCAAGCTAATAATAAGGATAAAAATAATTATTTTTTATATAAAGCAAGATGGTACCCCATGATGGTTTTGGTGAAGCTTTTATCACTATACCAGGACGTTATCAAGATTGATCATATAAACTTTATTCAAAGATTTTCCAATGGACTTGGACTAAACTATTTCAGTATCTCGGTATACCGAAATATTAAAAATCTAATACCGTATACCGTACCGAATACCCGGAATACCGAAATTTCTGTACCGAAATACCGAAAAAATCGAAACCAAAATACCAAACTAATTTGGTTCGGTTTGGAATTCGATTTTTCGGATTTTATGCCCACCCCTACGTTTATGTCCTCCTAAGAGTAATGCACTAATGCTAGGTACTTCTCTGTCCCAAACAAATATGATACTTTTAGCATGTTAAAAGTCATATAAATTATTATTTTTATTACTATTTTTTATATATATTTTAAATAATATTTTATTATAATTTTTAAATATATAAATATATTTTAAAATTTTAATATTTGAATCTATAGTTAAATTAAAAATTTTAACTTTCGAAATCCGAAAGTATCATTTCCGAAAGTATCCTGTCTTGGGGTGCACACCAAATCTTTTTGCTGTTGTGGGTAATAAAAAAAATAAAAATAAAAAAAAACTTATCCTGCCTTCGTGTGCACACCAAATCTTTTTGTTGTTGTGGGGTAATATTATTTTTTTTCGGCATTGTTGTGGATAACCAAGATACACTATTGATGTATTAAAGTTCGATACGATACTAAGAAAACAATTTACTTGGTAAATTGAAAAATAGTTGCTCTGAATAAATCAGAGGGAGGATTAGGGATTCGTTCAGCTTTTAATAAAAATTAAGTAATGCCCACCAACCTTACTTGGAGACTTCTCAATTTCCCCAAAAATCCTTGGGCACAACTTATTTGTACAAAATATGCCAATAAAAAGTGTATCCATACCTCCTCGTTTATGTGGGCAGCCCTTACTAAAGGTTGGAAAATCTATATGAAAAGAACCCTGTGGCACCCTAATAATTGCTCTAAATTAAATATTTGGAAATTCGCAACACCCCTAGCCTTAGGAATTTTATTGAGGGACCCCTACATAAACTAGACTATAAGCTCTTTATACAAGACCTAACAACACCTACTCCTTCTCACCACACTGGTAAAGATCATACTATTTGGGATATGTCCACCAATGGTTCATTCACTACTAAATCATGTTATAAGCTACTACAAGAGAAGCACATGACCAATTTCTCTAACAAATATGATTTTAATTGGATATGGAATCTCCATTGTCCGGATAAAATTAAATTCTTCCTTTGGATATGGAATCTCCATTGTCCAGATAAAATTAAATTCTTCCTTTGGAAATGTTTGCATAACAAAATTCCTTGTAGGTCTTTCCTTCTTCATATAGGAATTAATATTGATGCTCTTTGCCCAATTTATCGGTTGGGGATTGAAGATGCCATGCACATTTTTGTCCCATAGCTTCTCGCTTTTGGAAAGACATTGGTTTACACTTCCAAAATGATAGTAACACCCATAACTGGTTATTATGCCTGAAAAATGGTCAATTACTCAATGGTAACATCCATCAATGGATCAATAATTTTCCATTTGCCATCTGGAATCTTTGAAAAAATCGAAATAATAACAACATTAATAATCTCAACCACTCTCTTAATGTCAACCTAGTCCTTAGGCAAACTTGGGAATACAATTTTTTAACTGAAAGAAATTCTCCCCAACAACCTAAAATTAAAGTATCCATTAGGTGGATAAAACCTCCCACACAACACTATCAAGTTGAATATTGATGGAGCTTTTTCGAAGACTAAGTTGTATGCAGGTTTAGGAGGTGTTTTTCGTAATTGCAAAGGGTGATTGGATATTTGGATTCCATAAATCTTGTTAAGCAACATCCCGTTTGCATGCAAAATTATTAGCCCTGGAACAAGGCTTAAAAATTGCAATGGAGATGTCCTTTACATCGATTGAGATTGAAACGGACTCGACCGAGGTAATTAAAATGGTCAATGAGGACAATGCCCTAACAAATAATACATTATTCAATTGCAGGTTGTTAATGCGCCAATCGAAAATGCCAACAATTAACCATAATTTCAGAGATAGCAATGCAGCAACTCATAGTCTAGCTAAAGAAGGCATCAACCAATTCAAGCCAGGCAGAAGTATCTACCATACAATCCCCCCATTTTTTGTCAAAACAGTTTTGGAAAGGGATAAGTCAGATGTGTGTTTTGGAACTAAACTACTAAGTTCCTTGGTTTGTAATAGCCTAATAGCCAAAAACAATAGGAATGTCCTTAGGGACTATGTTGTTTCATGTAAGAATCAATATATCCGTCTTTATCGTTTCAAAAAAAAAAGTTCAATACAATACTTGACCTTTCTAGGATTAACATCCTTCGCCGAAAGATTATGAGTACTATGTATCTATCTATCTATCTATCTATCTATCTATCTATCTATATATATATATATATATATATATATATATATATATATATATATATATATATATATATGTATGTATATATATTATCTATATTATTATAAAAGCATGAATACAATGTCGGTTTACAAAAATAACCTTACAATATTAAGTATATTAACCCATAATAAAACGAAATAACCGGAATTTTAGAAATTAGCCTTATAATTTCTCTTAGTTTTAGGAAATAATACTACACGTTACGAATCCTACATGATTACCTTTATGAATCCTATTAGTATAATTACTTTTGGGATGTCTAGTTCATATAAAATTAAACAAGTAAATATCTTTAGTCATATAATCCTATTACGTTTAGGAGATACTTCTTAAAAATTTCTATTACTAATTTAATTTAAAAATATATTATAATATCCTATTACTAATTTAATTTAAGAATGTATTATATTGTCCAAATTTATTTAAAAAAAGGAGAGCCAATATTATTATAAAAGCATAAATACAATATTAATATATCAAAATATTCCTAAAATATTAAGCGAAATCATAGGGAAAGGACATAACTGTAATAACCTACTTTTGGACTATAATACCTTCTATGCTAATTTTAAATATTTGAAAGTTTTAAAATTAATAAATTTTTTGTCTATTAATTTCTTATAAAAATATATAGGAAAGCTTAATAAAATTAATTTCATAAGAATCCTCTATATTGGCAGTACATTACTACTCTATAATGTCCAATACTAATAAAAAATAAAAGTAATATTAAATGGACTAAAAAAAGAGTTGAAATTAAGAAAAAGATACCCCCGCATTAATATATTTTTATTTTATATTTAAACTATTTTCCTACTCAAATTAATTTTTCGTGTAATATTTAAAAGTACCCAATTATTAGACAATAACTAATAAAATATTTAAGAATATAAATGCGTAATAAAGAGAGAAAAAATAGTTGGTGAGAGTCAACACCACTAATGATTCTACAAACATAACGATCTTAAATTGAAATGTCATATCAATATTTTACTCTTTGAAAATAAATTTATGGTGGATAAAACTATAATTAAGATTTAAATATTCAAAACAAAATATGAACTAATATTAAGATCTGAATCAACATAAAATAAATTATTTTTTATGTTAAAATAAATAATTAAAATTTTAAATTAATTATTTAGCAAGAGAATCCAATTCAATTATTTTTTAAATTCATCATATGAGTAAAATTCTTATTCAAGTTAAAAAAAAGAAAATCTAGGGTATATAAATTTATTCCATAAAAAGAGAGTTAGAACACAGTAAAAATGATAGTATATTATTAAGAGTCGACTCTGGTATAACGGGATTATTTTTTATAGATGCCTCCGGCAGAATCGAAATAATATTTCTATATCATGCATTACTTGCAAATATCACATTAAGAGGCATGAAACTATTAGCAATAATAGCAAGTGGTGTACCAATAATAATTTTATTGTGAGGCTACCCACTTTAGATTTAATATACCTCTTCAAACAACTTAAATAATCATCACAAATATATCAAAGCAGAGCAGTGGTGCTAAATTTATAAGAAAACAAAATTTATAATATGGGATAAAGCACTTATGGCTAAGTTTCAAACGATCGAAATAATTGCCGGGAATTCTAGAAATATATTAGATATTAATGAACCGTTTGGTGAAAAATTAATGGGTTGGGAGGTGATTTATGTCATTACCAGTAGTTCCAAAATCGACAGAAGCAGATATTGTAAAAGTTATCTTGCCAAAGTTATACTTCTAGCCTCAAATGAAAAAGATTCAATTGACAAAAAATATAAAGTAAGAATAGATCCAATATTCAGTGTCTTTTTGCTTCGTGTCGGAAACGAAGAAGAGCATCCAATAAAAGATGGTTTGGTTCTTCCTGAACACTTGGTTATCAAACCCAATGGTAATGGTAGTGCATTTAATAAGAGAAATATTTCGATCATTGGATTAAAACGCAATTTGTGTAAATCGCACGATAGAATTAAAAAGATGACTTAGCTAGCAGAAATGAATATATTGATCAACTA